GAAAACCAGAACCACGGCCTCAGACCCAGAACCCGGTTCTGCACGCTCAGAACCAAAACCCAGTCTGACTTTGGACCAGGTGAGACCTGCTGAGCACAAAGCTCAGAGACAGTTCCTCCCTGTTCTGAGTCCAGAAGGACAAACAGGTTCTAAGTCCTGATGGACAAACAGGTTCTGAGTCTTGAGTCCTGATGGACAAACAGGTTCTGAGTCCTGATGGACAAACAGGTTCTGAGTCCTGAGTCCAGATGGACAAACAGGTTCTGAGTCCTGATGGACAAACAGGTTCTAAGTCCTGATGGACAAACAGGTTCTAAGTCCAGATGGACAAACAGGTTCTGAGTCCTGATGGACAAACAGGTTCTAAGTCCTGAGTCCTGATGGACAAACAGGTTCTAAGTCCTGAGTCCTAATGGACAAACAGGTTCTGAGTCCTGATGGACAAACAGGTTCTGAGTCCTGATGGACAAACAGGTTCTGAGTCCTGATGGACAAACAGGTTCTGAGTCCTGATGGACAAACAGGTTCTGAGTCCTGATGGACAAACAGGTTCTGAGTCCTGATGGACAAACAGGTTCTAAGTCTTGAGTCCTGGTGGACAAACAGGTTGTGTTTTTGTATTTTGTATTTATTTATTTTCATTTTTCTGCTTAATTTAATTTAACTTCATACTTTTTGCCCTGTAAGCTGCTGGTAAGTTTAATTTCCTGAGGGAGTCTTCCCAAGGGATCAATAAAGTACTGTCTAAGTCTAAGTCCAAGGTTTTATGACTGGAGATGAGAAATAGTTTGCAGACACAACAGGGATGCAGATTAGGGCTGACTGTTGGATTATGGGTTTTTAATGTGCAGGTAGAAATAAGAAAACAAGACGAACTAACCAATGAAACTCCGTCTTATTGCTGACATCACTGGATAACTAACCATCCGGGGTCTTACCGAACCGGGTATCTGACCAAACCGGGTATCTGACCCTACAAGGGATCTGACCGGACCGGGGTTCTAACCGGACCGGGACTCTGACCCAACCGAGGTTCCTACCCAACCGGGGTTCTGACCCAACTGGGGTCTTACCGGACCCAACCGGGTATCTGACTCTACAAGTGATCTGACTGGACCCGGGCTCCAACTTAACCGGGGTTCCAACCCAACCGGGGTCTTACCGAACCGGGTATCTGACCCAACCGGGTCTCTAACCCAACCGGGTATCTGACCCAACCCGGGTTCTGACCCAACCGGGGCCCTGACCCAACCGGGTATCTGATCCAACCGGGTATCTAACCCAACCGGGGATCTGACCCAACCGGGTCAAACCGGGGCTCAAACCCCACTCGTGTATTGACCGAACCGGGTATCTGACCGAACCGGGTATCTGACCGAACCGGGTATCTGACCAAACCGGGGCTCTTACCCAACCGGGGCTCCGACCGGACCCAACCGGGTATCTGACCCAACCAGGTATCTGACCTAACCGGGGCTCTGACCCAACCGGGTCGAACCGGGGCTCAAACCGAACCAGGGCTCCGACCCAACGGGGCTTTGAACGGACCGGGGTACGGGGCCGTGGACCGGCTCCGGTGGGCTTGTTTACATCCCCCTACCGGGTTACCGGGACTCACCTCCTGGTCGGACTCTGAATCCGGTTCCTCCGGACTCTGGTCCTCGTCCTGGATCGTCCCGATAAGACCGAGTTCTCCCAACATGATTCCGACCCGGGGGTTCGCTGGTTCTGGACTGGTTCTGGGACCCCGAGCACACGTGTGTCAGCGGAAGTCGGAAGTGACAGTGGCGCACTCGAATGACGTCACATCCGCGCTGCGGATGCAAATACACACATTTATGTTCATGTGAGGCCCCATAGATACAAATATACATGTTTATATAATTATAATAATATATAAATAAATTGTATTGATAATATATAATAATATATTATGTATATCTATATTATGAAATAATATATAATGAATAAAAAAATAATACAATAATATATAAATAAAATAATTTCCCTCTTGGATTATTAAAGTATTTCTGATTCTGATGTGTAGCCAGGTGAACTGGGCCTACAGTGCTTTTTGTGCATTCGTTGAGAAATAAGAGAGTATAATAGCATATTACTATCAGTATCTTACTGTTTATTTATGAAATTCCACTGTAAGATGTTCTAGAGATGTGGCTGAGTGTTTTACTTTCTGTTTATGTAGGAGAGCAGGCACTACTATTGTCTGTCTTTCTTATTAAGGGTTAAAGTAGCTATAAAGTAGCTAAAGTAGCTAAATTAACCCCGGGACTCCAACCCAGAACCCTCTGGCAGAAAGGTCCTGGTTCCCCCGGGGACTATATGACATCCAGACACCACAGAAACATGAATCAGGACGTAAAGCCACGTGTTTTCTGCAGAACCTTTTGCCGGACCAGGCTGTAGAACCAGGGGAGTCTTCAGAATGTGAGCAGAGCCGGTTCTTTGTGGCACACTGACCTTTGGACCCAGAAGCTCAGATCATGAGAGAACAGTCATCTCTGTGTTTGTTTTACTCTGAATTCTCCTCCATGTGGAACAGCAGAGGCAGACTCCATTGTTTGATGTTCTGGTCTGCGTGTTTTTGAAGGTTCTGGACTGAAAACTAACATTATCCAAGAAGGACCAGAGCCACCAAAGAGAGAGTAAAACCATTCAGGAAGAGAGAACAAACACAATTAACCGAACTCTGAATATGGAGACAACAAAAACAGCAACTTTGACTAATGATTGCGTAAAATTATACAAGAAGAAGTTCACAGAACATGACATTAGCTATTAAGAAACAAACCCCAGGAAGAGATGAAATGCTGACATCAGCTTAAACTATTTCACAAAAGGGTTTTGTGACAGAAACATCTCATCAAGTCTCTCAGTACTTATTTCTTTGTTTTGGTTTGCCTGTTTTTGATGGGCGTGTTGGTGGGTGATGACTTGAATATTTAAATGGACAGAGCTCATTTACACCAACATCATGGAGAAGTCTGTTTGTTTTTAAAAATCTTTTATGTCTGGTCCAAATCCGTATGGAATGGTACCAAACACATTAGCTTTACAGAGGAAGTTTTAGAAATACCACACCAATGAAGATTTTTTTTAGCTGATGTCAAACATGACAGAAATACAAAGAAAATATAGCAAACAAAATGACAAAACCTTTTCATTTTTTACTATAAGAAAAATGATCTAATTAATTAATTTTTCAAACTGAGACTCACTGGCTTTGGCTCATTTTCTGTGAAAAACATGTATCAGAATACATATTTAATGACCACACACCGTACACTCCCCCTACATATTTCTATTACATATAAGATGGCTAAAAGAAGTGTGGAAATTGATGTTCTGTGTACCACACACACTCACAACCTTGTGTGGGAACTGCAGGTGCACAAACACAAAAGAAACAGTTCCCCCACGTTGTTTGTCTGCTCTAATTTTCTGTCTATCTGCTAAAAATCAGGGGGGGACCAAACTGGAACAGCTTTGCCAGAGTGGTTTCTTATAACCGATCCAAGATGGCCGACAGGTTCTCTGCCCAGAGGACCCTGGAATTGATTTTGGATGATAGAGAGAGAAGTTAAGATAAGGTAAACATCTGTTCAGTATTTTAATATAGAGGTGTTTGTTTGTGAGGCATTAAAAGCCACAAAATGCAACGGGTCACTCAGACCCACAAACCCTGGCTGAGTAACAACAATATGAACCGCTAGCTAACATGTTAGCTGGCTAACATGTGTTAGCTAACCTGCTAGTCAAATATTCTGACAGCTTCTTCACACTGTTCAACCAAGAAAAAAACACAGAAATTAGCTTAATGTTGACACATTTGATGCTCCTTTAAATAGATCTGAGCTACACACACACACACACACACACACACACACACACACACACACACACACACA